AGGAGATAATCTAGAAGCTGTGAAGGAAAGATTAGAAAGGGCAGGAGATAATCTAGAACCTGTGAAGGAAAGATTAGAAAGGGCAGTAGATAATCTAAAGACCGCGTAGAAAAGATTAAATAGGGCAGGGATAATCTAGGAGCTGTGAAGGAAAGATTAGAAAGGGCAGGAGATAATCTAGGAGCTGTGAAGGAAAGATTAGAAAGGGCAGTAGATAATCTAAAGACCGCGTAGACAAGATTAACTAGGGCAGGGATAATCTAGGAGCTATGAAGGAAAGATTAGAAAGGGCAGTAGATAATCTAAAGACCGCGTAGAAAAGAGTAACTAGGGCAGGGATAATCTAGGAGCTGTGAAGGAAAGATTAGAAAGGGCAGGAGATAATCTAGAGCCTGTAAAAGAAAGATTAGAAAGAACAGCGGATAATTTAGAACCAGTGAAGGAAAGATTAGAAAGGGTAGGAGATAATCTAGAAGCTGTAAAGGAAAGATTAGAAAGGGCAGGAGATAATCTAGACCTAATGATAACGTTATCAAACTGGTCATAAATATTTCCATTAAAATTATGATTTTTTTTTTATCTCACTAGACGTACCCTTCGATAGAGCATACCAAGTGAGAACCTGTTGGTATAATACCATCATTGATAATCACATATGTTCCTCTTGTGATATTGTGGCAGATCATGGGCCGGGCGTGACCTACTAGTTAATGTGCTCTGACTGTGAATCCGAGGTTCGTAGTTCGTGACCTATTTCCACAAAAACGTGTTTTTAACGCTGCTACATAGTCTAAATATGTCCTAGTACAATTCATACAGTTTACAAATTACAGTAAAACGTTTCTCATATTTATTATCCGGCTTAGTAAAGTATTGATCACAATATTACATGAACAGAGACCAATTCACACAAGCTCGAGAAAAATGATGAAAAAAACAACAACAAACATTCTGATGGAACGGGTTATAGTTCTACATTAACTACACCACAGCCCAGATAACCCAATGTGGCTTTGCTCTAAATTAAACTTATATACATATATATACAAACGTATGTATATATATATGTGTGTGTGTGTGTGCGCGATTATGGTAAATAAGTTATGTATGCAAAAAGACTACAATATATTTCTGTCATTTACCGTGAAAATATTACGAAAACAACCTTTTATGAATAAGTGCTAAAGTCTTGGAGTGTTTCAGAAAGTTAAATTTCCATAATTGTTTGGTGTACTTTTAGTTCTATATAAAACTGAAGGCAGTTAACACACACACACACACACAAAAAATTGAACTTGACTTTAACTAAAAAAAAGGAACGAAAAACGTTAAGAATTCCAACTCGGAGGTAAGACTTGGCACTCAAGATAGGGTATATGAGCGCCAATCCTCCCCATGGGGCGAAGCTTGTTTTCTTGGTTAAACCCACACCATAGTTTAACTTGGAAAGAAAAATGAAGTGACTCCTACATAATACAAAAAAAAAAATCAGCTGCTCAGTAACTTTAAGTTTCTGCGTTTTTTATTGATTTGATCCCTTGATTGTTGGTAGGCGCTCGGGGTGTTATTTATTTGTTATAAAGAGAAATGTCCTTGAATGATTTGACCTTCACTGTAACGTGATCCGAAAAGTATTTCATCTATTTACTTTGCTCGTGTGTATGCTTGCGTCAAGGTATCCAGTTGCTAAGCCAAACTCTAATATTTCCGTTAACAAGTTTCATTACATTTTTTTTTTCTTGAAAGGAATTCACCTAACGTGTTTCACTTAAGGAAATGTTCTGAATTAGCAGTGATATGTAACGTGTTATTGAGCTTTAAAAGTAATTACTACAGCAAATACTATACGAGTTCAATTCAGAATATATGCGACACTTGGGTTAAAATGGCCTCTTCAAAGACACTTAAGTTCAGACATAGCCGTCTCTAATTTTTAGCTGTTGACCAGAGGGATTATAACCAATCAGTAATCCCCTCCGCCTACGCTGTTATTCTTAATTAAGTAGCAGCATTTCTTTGTAACATTTACAACACGCCCACAGCTGAAAGTTCAAAGTGTATTCAGTGGCATGTCGAGACTCAATCCTTGGAGCTCTTGATTCGCTAGCGGTTTAATAACAGAATCAAAACATTCAAAATTGTTAATACTTTCCAAAATATAAACCGTATTCTACCTCAAAGATCTTGTTTAAAAACTAGAACATTACGTTTATGAAACCATGTATTTCACACACTCAACATATCAGGTTTCAAATTTATGAAACCATGTATTTCACACACTCAACATATCAGGTTTCAAGTTTATGAAACCATGTGTTTCACACACTCAACATATCAGGTTTCAAATTTGTGAAACCATGTGTTTCACACACTCAACATATCAGGTTTCAAATTTGTGAAACCATGTATTTCACACACTCAACATATCAGGTTTCAAGTTTATGAAACCATGTGTTTCACACGCTCAAAATATCAGGTTTCAAATCGTCAAATTGGGTCTGCTATTTAAGAGGGCCGCATACGAGTTCTTACTTATAAAAAACTCGTCAGATTTGCAGCAAAAAACCACTAGATGTCACTTAACATATATTCATAAAAGGCCACCAGAATGATTGTATGTTGTTGAGCTAACATTTCATAATACAAGAGTGGTTGGTGTTTCACGACTTACAACGCTAAAATTCCGGTTTCGATACCCGCGGTAAACAGAATACATACATAACCCATTTTACATCTTTGTGCTTAGTAACAAACAAATAATGAAACATGACAACAAGCCCGTTCTATCATTTTACTGAGGGCAGAGAAATGAATTTCAACTTGCTTTATGGCTTTAGTTTTGTTCAGTGTTTAGTTTGGTATTTTTATGTATTGTGGATTAAGTTAGAACGCTAAAAACCGGATTTTGATACCCGTGGTGGGCAGAGAACAGATAGCCCATTGTGCAGCTTTGTGCGTAACCTCAAACAAAAGTACTCTGGATTAATTATTTTACATTTTAACAACGTTCACCCAAACATCTGCTAACGAGGTTATAACCACAACAATTTAAACAGGGGCCAACTACGTTCAAATTCTATTAACTGCAGGTTATGAATTAATAGTTCCCATGATTTTCCGTAGAAAGTATTTTATCAAATAAATTCGTTCAAGCTGATGAACAAATATAACAAATTATTTTAGAAATATTGTAAGCCTTCACTAGCAACGATAACCAATGGAAATAATTTTGTTTCTAGTTTGTTTACTACGCTGACCAATCATGCATTATATTACATTGTATATAGTATCAAAATAATTTTATTGTTATTTGTACTGAAAGTACTCCAACGAGACTGGTAGACATCATTGTTTACTTACGATGTTGAAGTATCTTGTTTAGTAATAGGCTGTGGTTAACTTGTTTTATTGACATGAAATACGTGGCTGACGGTAATTTTGTTTTACCTTTTAATAACCATGTAACCATGAAACTATACATTATATGATTTAATGTATCTTCACGAAGTTTGACAAGATTTTAATAAATATTACAAGTCTTTTTGTCAACAACAAAAAAAAAATCTGATTTTTTAATTAAATATTTTTACTAAAGATTTGTCTGTAAATTTATGGAGTCAAAGTCTGACTCAGATTGATTACTCTGAGTGCAAAGTGATTTTCATGTTAAGATTTAAAATGTTTTTGTTTTTGTTGTTGTTTTTTTTTCATCTTACGATTTCCAAATTTCATATGCATATCCTCGTGAACGGATAACAAGTAAAACGTTATATTTTATCTCTACATCAGGGATGTCTGATTCTCTGATTGATTTCTCCTACCCAAGCTCAGGCAAGCACGACATATCGGTTTTTATGAATTCGATCTTCTGAAATTTTGTTTCATGCTTGACCATGATCTTTGTGTGTGGCTTCAATAATATAAACTAAAAGTCGATTGGGAAAACGTCACAAACGTAAGACGAATGGTTCCGTTTCCTTCCTACGCTCTAAAGGAAGATTGGTGGGTATGGTGTTATCAGTCGACATTTGATTCGAAGACAGATTGTCTAGCCAAGATAATTGTTTTATATCTTTGATAAAAGTCGGAATATCTGCAAGTACGTTAAACTGTCGGTACAGCTAGGTAATATCTGCAAGTACGTTAAACTGTCGGTACAGCTGGGTAATATATACAAGTACGTTCTACCGACAGTTTAACGTACTTGTAGATATTACCTAGCTGTACCGACAGTTTAACGTACTTGTAGATATTACCTAGCTGTACCGACAGTTTAACGTACTTGTAGATATTACCTAACTGTACTGACCGTTTAACGTACTTGTAGATATTACCTAGCTGTACCGACAGTTTAACGTACTTGTAGATATTACCTAGCTGTACCGACAGTTTTAGCTAGGTAATATCTACAAGTACGTTAAACTGTCGGTACAGCTAGGTAATATCTACAAGTACGTTAAACTGTCTGTACAGCTAGGTAATATCTACAAGTACGTTAAACTGTCGGTACAGCTAGGTAATATCTACAAGTACGTTAAACGGTCAGTACAGCTAGGTAATATCTACAAGTACGTTAAACGGTCAGTACAGCTAGGTATTAAACAGAAGTGTGGGTGTATGAACTATAGAAAAGATAAACATCATAATATTTCAAACATGGAAAGGGGGGGGCATTTGCCCAGTCAAATCTCCCTCCCCCAAATTTAACCCTATATACATAGAGCAAATGTAAAAGAAAACATGTTCGCACGCGCACTACCGTTTCATGGGATGCTATTAGTTCTTGTATGCTAGAATCAATCCACTTTTAAAGGGACTTGTTATTCCCCCTCCCCCAACCCAAGAAAAAAATTGCTATATATGCTAGAGTGGCCAAAAACATTCTGATTTTTTCCAAGGTCTGTGAGTACTTTGATATGAGTATGATATATGAGTATGCTTTGATATGAGTATGCTATATGTATGCTAGAGTGGTCAAAAACATTCTGATCCTTTCCAAGGTCTGTGAGTACTTTGATATGAGTATGATATATGAGTATGCTTTGATATGAGTATGATATATGTATGCTAGAGTGGTCAAAAACATTCTGATCCTTTCCAAGGTCTGTG